TACTAAACTTCATTATATTAGTCTTTTAATTGAAAATAATTTACTGAAGTATTATTTTCAAATGAATATCTTCTAAAATTCTCATGCAATATTTGCATCTTAGCTTCTAAAGCTGACATTTATTTATAGTACTTCATCACTCATCATTATTATTTTCTTTTTTTTTCGTCTTTCATATTTGAAATAAACGCGTTATAACACTTTCATTTATAAATAGAGTTTTTCTAAAGATATTTAATATAATTTACTCTTACCAAATTTCTTATGTTATAAGGACGAACTTGGTAGGACACAATAAAATAAAGATACTACCTAATTATTATCAACACATGTAAAACCAATTATGAGAAATATTTTGTGAAAATATTATATTAGGCAAACGCCTTAAACTCACCGTAGGGGCTAAAGGCAATGTCGCACCTATCATAACAAATAATGTCCATGGCCAAGAGTTTAGGCCTAGATGCAAAAGCGATGTCATGAGTTTTTAATATTTGTTTTGCTATATCAGGAGATGTAACCACAACTGCAGAAACTTCACCGAGTTGAAGGTGCATGAGCGGTCCATATTTTTTGGCTAAATCTCTAAGAACGCGGTGTGGAAGTCCACCAGCCAGGTGATGCATACTTCCTATAAAAGGAAGTTTCCATGGACCTGGAGGCAATTTTTTGGTTTGGCTATATTTTGAGTACTTTTTCCATTTCCTTAACAAAAAGAGGAAACATATGAAAAGAAAAATGGAAATCAATTGCATTTTGGGATATTTGATTATTCAATCCTCAATTGAGTGTCCTATTTTATAAGCTTCTGGTTTGGCACCAAGTGGGATATGCAACAACCTAGTGGCATATTTTGGTTACAATTTTTATAAATAATATTTGATTTTTTGAATGTATTTTTTCTAAAGAAACATGAAACATGATTTAAATATAAAATACAATTTAAATAGGAATATATATTTACAAAAAGTTTTGAAAAGGAAAAATATAGTGAAAACAAAATTTTGGTTGTTCTTCATATATAATCTCAAATTGTATTTGTAAATTTCATGGTTAAACAATGATTTTCAAATAAAGTGAAAAAGAATTTGAGTAAAAGTGAAAAAAAATTCATGGCTAAATCCCAATTTTTCTAAAAATTATGTTTTTTTTTAAAAAATAATATAAATTTGACTCATAAATTCATATTTTATAAAAAAAAATCCATTTTAAATTTTATATAAAAAAAAACTCATGTTCAACGTAAAGAAATATTCGTACCATAAGAAAAGAATACATAGTTAATTACTAGAATTGTTGACTAGTGTCATTGGCTATTATGAATTAGAGACGAGTGAAATATTGCCATTTTTAGAATTAAACAAAAGAAGCTAGGCAAGTAGGCATTTGCTGACAAGTACAAAAACAAATGATGAATCTTCTTTTAAGTCATATTCAACATTTATTTCATCCACTTTTGACAGCCAATGCCTAATCTGTATGTATAGGAGTAGTTGCCATGCATATTAAGAATCGGAGGAAGTTTGATAATTTTCACAAAGATTTTTATGTTTAAGAAAAAAAATATAACTTGTACGTTCAAATAAAATGTCAACTGAAAATTAATCTGATTTTAATATCATGATTTCATATAACATATCCAGACAGGGTATCATAACATAAATGCAATTTTTACAATTTTTGAGTTCTTTTCTTTTAACAAAAAAAAAAAGGCTATCCCAATAAAGAGTTATTTTAAGTCTTATTATCCCAAAATGAAATAAAATTGTATTTCATTCATTTGGATCCCTTTTTAACAACCACCTTTTGTTTTGTTCTTGAATTTTAAATTTAATTCATTATATCTCCATGTGCTCAAGGACTCACAATCTTACTAATTTCCAACTATTTCCTTGTTAGGGATGTGATATGTGAACAACTTTTTTGCACTAATGGCCAAAAGTCCAAAATGTGTATCCAACCCTCCAAAATACTTCAAATTTAAATTCAACTCCTGAGTTTATAAAATTACATTTTAACTCCTTTTCCTTTTAAATACCTCTTAGCTTTCTTCATTTTTTACTACTCCTTCTGTTCAATTTTATATTACTTACTTTTCTTTTTAATTGATAAAAAAAATGACACATTTCTACTGTATCGATTGTAAAGTGGATGCATCTCAAAGTAAAAATGTCAATATTGATCTGATCCCAATTTTAAGCAGATCAATTATATTGATAGTGTACCGATTGTGAAAGATGTTAGGAAAATCAATGAGATCATAAGAGTGAAAACCAGAAAATGTACATTTGTGTTCCATGTTGGATGTGTAATCAATTAATTGTCTGAAATGATGTGTAGCAATTTACTACCTTTGTCGGTGGCAGATCCACCCTATGTCACGGGGTGCTGATCGGCACTGTCTCGTTGAAATTTTTTAGTATTTTATATATATAAAAGTGAAAAAATAAAAATTTCCTTACAAATAACATTAATGACATTACCTGAACAATTGAGCCTCTTGGCTTGTTGGTTTGCAGCGTGAAATGAATGGTTATTCACCCGGCGTGGCCCAAGATTGAGCCTTAGTGAGGCCGAATTGTCTTTTATTTTTGAGACATTTTCAGATTATTTTTTTTAATATTATAGGGATTCGAACCTCCAATCTCCTATTTATAGTCAAATTAAGCTAAAATAATCCAATTGCACTTAGAATATTTAGTACTTAATATTATCTCCAATGAGTCTATTATAAATACATTTCAAAATATGAAAACTCGTCGAGGAAAGTTTAGTAGTTTATTTGATTTACGTTTTATTAGTATGTTTTAAATGGTTTTTATTAATATAATATTATTATATCAATTATTTATTATTTATTAATTTTTAAATATCGACACCGCTTACGAAAAATTATGCGTACGCCATTGTACATTTGTTGGCACCATTGATAGTAGTGATTGTGTTAATCTCATAAAGCTATTTTGATGTGTTTCACAAGAATCTCTTATGGTAACTAATTGGTTCTTAATGTTACTTGTAGTAAGGGTGGCAAAATCAAATCCAACCCGACCAATCCATTTAGGTTAGGTTGGTTATTGACCCGCCCATTTATTAGTTCAACTCATTTCAAAATCCAACCCATTAAAAATTGGGTTGATAGGTAACCTAAATTGATTTTTGAGAAATCTTGTCAAAATATTTTTAATTTTTTTATATGTTATATTTAGTTATAATAAAGTAAAAAAAAATTACTAAGTACTAAAAGTTAATAAAATAACAAATAAAACTATTAAAACTTAGTAAAATTTGGGCGGGTTGGGTTATGACCCGTTAGCAGGGCCGTAGCTAGAGCTATCCTAGAGTGTCCAACTGGACACCCTTTGTGCGAAAATTATGTTGTATATATATGCTAAATTCTACATTTAAAGTATATATATTTAAAGTTGGACACCGATGACAAAAGCTATGCCTTTGTCATAGTGATAATATGTGTCTATTTGAATGAAGAAGTTTCGGGTTTGATGCCCAAATAACACAATTTATTTGTTTTATTTTGACAGTCACACACCATTATTCTTGGATATCCTTAATAAAATTGTTTGTTTATAATCTGTTACCTAACCCATTTTGACCAGCCCAACTTTAACCCAACTCGCCCAATTACCACCCCTACTTGTAGCTAGGATTGGCGCCATGTCTCTCTTTATTGAGGATACTGTCATGAATCTCTGGACTGAAAGTACTGATGAGAGCAATTGCACTATCGACATTTTTATGCAACATCACTTATCATTCATTGTATTTGATGTTATTTGTACATGGGGCTTTGTCCACTCCACTTTTCTTTCCCCGTAGGCTGCAACCCCCTAAGTTGTGCGGTCTCTTCACTTTTGATGCTGCATTCATCTCGGATTATCTAATAATACACTACTTTTAGAAAAGCTGACACGCATCGATTGACATTTTTTTAAGAATCCAAATAATATAGACATCTTCCACCTGCTTCCCTAAAGGAGTATGGGGACAAATTGTGGAATGTTGGTTAGTGGAACTGTGGAAGAGAGAGTTACTTATGCATCTTGATTGGCTTCTCCAGATCTTCAATATTGCGAAAGAATGTCTTTTGTTCCAACACAAAATCCACTGTGGAGAAATGGGCACCATATTCACCATCAAAGGTAGAACTAGGTGGGGGTTCGTGGATTCAGACGAATCAATAGTTTTTTCCGTAGACCATGGATTTGAACTAAAAAATTAATAAATATATGTATATTAACTTATGAACCTCTAACAAAAATGATTGATGGTTCAGTGGTAAGGAAGAAACCGTGGAAATGCTTTACACGTTAGAGTTGTCAATTCGAACCCCCCTCTTTTAGAAAAAAAAGAAGGAAATTTAGAGCCTCCAAACTCATAATGTGATCGGTGTCTAGCCCAAATACCCTGATTCGGGATGAGGAGTCATGTTCTTGTACTTATCTGTTAGGGCCCCCAAACTTTTAATGTGATCGGTAGCTGGCCCAAATACCCCTGATTCGGGATGATGTTCTTGTACTTATCTGATTGTGCCTCGATTACTTCATCACGTACCCCCGACGACACACCTCTGGATTCTTCGCGCCATTTTCAACGAAAATACAAAAATTAAGGAAGACAATGCAAAAGTTAACCTTAAAGAACGAAAAATGCTTTGTAAAATCTGTTTCTCCTCCACTATAATTAGTTTTATCACCTTCTAACAATTTGTTAATGTTGGATAAATTGAATATATATATGTTAGGGTACGATTATGAAAAATGACAATAAAGAAAAAGGTAACCAACAGTGTCGCTGTCAACAACTGAAGCAGACTATCGGGCAGCAACAGTTGCAGCTCAATAAAGTACGTGGCTTATGCAGTTGATGCAGGATTTACAGCAACCAGTTGGGTACTCAGTTACCTTGTATTGTGACAATCAATCAGCGATTTGCTTGGCTGAAAATCTTGTTTCTGCAAGGACTAAGCACTTGCAAATAAATACATTACAAATCACATTTTACTATATCTAGAATCCTACAAATCACTGAAAAACTTGTGATCATTGTTATAGTGCTGCACTGAAGACACTTTCTTGATCACATACATATTCCCACGAGATATAATTTCTTACAAATCTGATTCAAGTACATAACAAACAATCCTCAGCTCCCATCCTCCTCTTGCCTTCTTTTATTTGTCAATTTATACCCAAAATTAACAGAAATTCTACCCCTTTTGAATTGTTACAAAAAATGTTATTCGACAGACCAGACATGAGGGTAACTGTCACGCGGATACAATCTTATTTGATTAAAAGACAAGAAATAAAATGACAAAGGAAAATTTAAAAAGTTGATGCCATTAAGGTTGATGAGGAGTGGCAATTAAGTAAAGATCACCCTTTCTAGCAACAGTAATTCCAGCCGATTCAGTCAAGTCCAAGTCTTTTGGCTCCATTCCAGTAGGGAGCTTCCAATCAAAGTGATAAAGCAATTGAGCCAACGGAAAATAAACATTAGCCAAACCAAATGATATCCCGGGACAAATCCTTCTCCCTCCACCAAACGGAAGATACTCAAAATTGTTACCAATAAAGTCTATAGAGCACTGCTCAAATCTCTCCGGCTTAAAGCTTTCTGCATCATCCCAATATTTCGGATCTCTTCCCAATGCCCAAACATTAACCATGACTTTGGTCTTCACGGGGATAGTGTATCCATTTATTTCAGTTTCTTCCCTACATTCTCTTGGGACCAAAAGTGGAACTGGAGCATGAAGTCTCATTGTTTCTTTAATGACTAACTTTAAGTATTTCAGCTCTTCCACATCATTTCCATCGAACGTTACTTTGTCTCTAAAGGCTTCTCGCACTTCTGCTTGAGCTTTGGCGAATACACTTGGATTTTTCAACATTTCAGCCATAGCCCATACAGTTGTTGTTGATGAAGTCTCTGTTCCAGCAGCAAACAAGTCCTGCAATTAATGGCCAAGTTATAATAGTAAATTAAATAAGTAAGAATAAGCATAGTATATATTCAATACTTACAATAATAACAGCTTTGATATTGTCGTTGTTGATTGGAAATTGAAGACTTTTATCATTCATAAGTCTTAGAAGGACATCAACTAGATCTTCACCACCTATTGCATCGTCACTTTTGCGAGTTGCAATGTTCTTCTTATGCTCTTTGATGACATCCTCAACAATTGAATCTACCTTACGATGGGCATTTAGAAGTTTTTTCTTCGCTCCACCAAAACCATGAAGAAATTTGTATGAAGGGAAGATGTCAGCCACATCAAATCCCTCTGCTAAGCTTATTACTTCTCTAATTAACTTTATAAATACTTCTTGCTCCTTTAGTACTTGTCCAAATGCTGATCTACATGTCATGGAACTGGTGAACCAAATGATCCTTTCCGTAAAATTAACCAGCTCACCAGAAGTAAAACATGGCTGGATAGAGTCAATGAGACGAACAACTTCATCATGCCTGATCGAGCTGAATGACCGGACATTCTTTGCACTCAATACTTCCATGATACAAATTTTACGCATTTGTCTCCAGTACTCACCTATTAGAATTGAAATCATCAGAACTTGTACGACAATAGATAAGACAGTGAGAAAAAACATATCAAATGTAACCCTCACACTTACCGTAGGGGCTAAAGGCGATGTCGCGTCTATTATAACAAATAATGTCCATGGCCAAGAGTTTAGGCCTAGATGCAAAAGCAATGTCATGAGTTTTTAATACCTGTTTTGCCATTTCAGGAGATGTAACCACAACTGCAGAAACTTCACCAAGTTGAAGGTGCATAAGTGGTCCATATTTTTCAGCTAAATCTCTAAGAACGCGGTGTGGAAGTCCACCAGCCAGGTGATGCATACTTCCTATAAAAGGAAGTTTCCATGGACCTGGAGGCAATTTTTTGGTTTGGCTATTGTTTAAATACTTTTTCCATTTCCTTAACAAAAAGAGGAAAGATATGAAAAGGAAAATGGAAACCAATTGCATTTTGGGATATTGATTCTTCAAACCTCAATTGAAGTGAGTTGTTTTATAAGCTTCAAACTGCTAAATGTTCACTATTTCTTCCGTCTCAATTTATATGACATACTTTAAATTTTGATAGTCAAACTTTTCAATTTTAATCGTAAATTCAAACATGAAAACATACTATTAATCACAATAATTGAGAATTTAAACCTATGAAAAAAAAATCAAAATATAGATAAATTCTCTCGACTCTCAAAATTTGAAAGGTGCCATGTCATTATTGATCATTTTTAGGAGTCAAATAAATTCAGCTTATCTGAAGAGTAAACAAATAATAATTTTGTGGACTAATTCCCAATAATAAAGCATGGCGCAGACGACTCTTAACTTATTATAATAATTGCTTCGCCTTTTTGAATAGCAATTTTGACTGATATAGAACATATCTAGATACCGGCAAAATTGAAAAAAATGTTATTTTGATTCCACTTTAATTTAATTAGTGTATAATTTTTTTGAAATTGTGAGACCCGTTTTATGTATGTTTTTTACTTTTAAATTCATATCCTTTAATTATAGCTTTATTACTTCGAATATCGTTGATATTTGTGTAAATTTATAACTACTTTGAGTAAAATATTGATGATTCGTGAAGAAAAATATTTCAATTATAGATATCCCAATGGCCGCCCTCACATTAGGTTTTCATGTAAAAAGAATAAGATGATTTATTTCACGCAAATAGATATATAATTTATTTTACAGCAAAAATTTAAAACTATTCTTTCAACACCACTTAATGATATTTATCAAGTATTCATTTTACACTCAATGAGATTACTTAGTGCATCTCCAACCTTATACTCTATTTTACTCTCCAACTGCTCTTCCTGCTTCTCAAGAAATTGTTGCGTTGGATACCCAGTGAACTTACCCACCGATTGCTCAGAGTTGTTTTCCATGGAATTTTGGACGAGGGGCGATATGTTAGTCTATTGTTGTTAGAAGTGTTGGTGAGAGTGGACAATATGGTATTGGAGAATCAATTCCTAGTAACCAGATAGCAAAAGAAAAACCATCAACTTACCTGAAGTTAAAAATAAAATTTCCAAGCATAGGACTGGTTGGAATTCATCTTGTTGAGCCTCAATATAAGCTGTCTTTTGAACTTGGTGACAAATTAATTAGAGCTTCTTTTTGCCATGATAGTGGCATGAAAGGCTGCTGGCTCAGGTGCAAGGTCTTACAAGTATCACAAAATTAACGTCTGAAAGTTCAATATGATGCCATCCAAGATTGTGATGGTCTTGGAAAGGTCAAGGTACCTTAACCACTGCAACTATAACTTAAGTTTATATACTATAATTATGATCTACTAACATTTATTGACTTGACCGCTCTCCCTTCACCCTATTTCCTCATTACCTTTGCTTGGTTTATAGGAATGGATTCCTTTCTACAGAGTTGTAGGCTTTGATAGACTGGGCATGAGATGCACCTGACACCTTACAGTTCGGCCCCAACTTCTGGAGGATTATTTTGACTATTCTTTTGAATAATGAGCTGCAGTGGATGCTTGGTGATCTGACGGGTGGTGGTAAGGTGTTGTTGATGGATTTGATGTCTATGGAAGCGGTCATCTTCAGGTTTACTTCACTGGTATGAAATAACAGTCCCAAGAAAACTAAAATGTTAAAATAGAAATAGAAAACAAGGAATAAAAGGAGAATTTTTGCTTATCGGTTGATGCATTGCAATATTGCGTTAGAATAGCTCAACAGCCAATGGATGTAAAATTGGAGTCTCTAATTATATTAAATTCTTACATGAAATTGTATATCTAATCTCACATTGACATAAATTGATTTTCTAACTCAACAGTGGAAAATGTTTTAAATAGTAGGCCTACACCAATCTCTTCACGCCCTCACGTTCTTCCATTGAATCTCCAATAATATGTTCTCCCCTATTATTGAGAAAAAAAGTACCTTGAGGCATTAGGCCATAACCAACATCGGACACTCAAAATTCCGGACAACAAACTAGCCAGAAGCTAGCCCTACTGTTTAAAACTTTTTCCATTGCTGAGTTAGAAAGCCAATATATGACAATACTGAGCTTAGACATATGATTTCAGGTAGAATTAGGAATTATTAGAGACTACTTTTACATCCATTGGTTGTTGAGTTATCCTTATGCAAAGTTGCAATGCATCAATCGATAAATAAGAATTCCCTTTTTATTTCTTATTTTCTATTCTATTTTAGTTTTTTTAGTTTTTTGGGACTATTATTTCTTACTAGAGAAGCAAACCTGAAGATTAGCGCTTCCACAAACAGCAAATCCAACAACAACACCTTCCCATCACCCGTCAGATCACCAAGCATCAACTACAACTTCTATTCTAAAGAATACTCAGAATAATCCTCCAGAGGCTGGGTCTGAACTGTGATGTGTCCTGTGCATCTCATGCCCAATTTATCACATCCTCCAACTCAGTAGGAAGGAATCCATTCCTATAAATCAAACAAAGGTGATGAAGAAACATGGTGATGGTAGAATGGACAAGTTAATAAATGCAAGTAGATCATATATTATAGTATACAAACTTAAGTTATAGTCACAATTGTTAAGGTACCTCGAGCTATTAAGGACCATCACAATCCTAGATGGCATCATATTGAACTTTCAGATATTTTTGTGATACATGTATAACCTTATACTTGAACCAAGAACCTTTCATGCCACTATCGTGGCAAAGAACCACTAAGTTGTCATCAACTTCAAAAGACAACCTATAATAAGGCTTAACAATTTGAATTTCAACTTCCATGTGCTTGGGAATTTTATTTTGAACTTCACCTGAGTTGGTGGTTTGGCTTTTGCAATCTGATTACCAGTCATTATATTTCTGATACTAGAATGGTCACTCTCAACGGCACTTCTACTCCCCCTAGGTTCTTGCATTGAAGGATCTTCTCAGGTTATATTTTCAGAGTCATCATCAGATATGTGACCAGCCATTAAGGCACTTCTTCTCTTTTCACTTGTCGGGGTATCTACAAGATAAGGGAAGTTAAATTTACTATAATGCATAGAAGATTTAAGTTAAGCTAAACATAATTTATAAGATTCTTTCTACATAGATCCAATTGTATATAGCTAAAAACAAGGACGTTCAAGGACCACAATTCCATAGGTGGCTATGGGGTAGATCATCTATCAGGTGTAATCTTAATCTTTATGAGCACACAAGCTTTAAATTCTTCAAGTGCATATAATCATCAAGAAGAAAAAGAATTCATTGATGAAATATGAAAAAGATATTATGACAACATTTACCAAATACATCAGATCAAAGACTAGTATAAATGATCCCGAGCTATAATTAGAGGTTCTAAACTAGGCTAGTAATTAATTGGCATCTACCCGAACATCAAAGAACAACACAAAACGTATCTACGTTGAAAAATGCATCTACATTAATACGAATACCAAACATGCATGATACTAAGGATCACAATATAAATGCACAAGGGGAAAATGTAAAGGGAAGAAAAGGATAAAAAAAAGATCTAAACTGCATACTACACATTCAACACAATAGATCTTCGCAATATCATGACATAAAATAAAAATAAAAGATAAAGGAGTAAGACACAAAGGGATTTTTCCGGTCGAACAAACAGAAAAGATTGTAACTGAGAATATTAGACAGAAAGAAGAGCTTTTTGCAAAGATTAGCTCCGAATGACCATATAAACAATGATAAAACAACATCAAACCACAACCCCAAATGAAACACAAACAAATTTTTTCTAAATCCAAAGATAAACTAACCTTAATTCAAGAGAACTCTCAATACTACTCAGTTACAAAGAGCGGATCCTTTTTCAAGAATTACCAAACGAGGACCAATAAAGCGCAAACCCCCATGAAAAATGAAATGGGGTTTACTGATTTTAAAAGAATAACCTTGTACAAGAACAAAAATATACAACATTGAACCAACATTCATAAGACATCAAGTAATCACACTTATAACAAATAGCTTAAGGTTGGAATACAAAACAAGCAGCAAAAGAGAACCCAGATTTCAAGAAAAATATAAGGCTAAGCACGTAATAAATACTAACTCACCTCAAAAGTAGCAAATGTTTGTTGCTTTATCGAGAGATGGAGCTTTCGAAAAAAGCCAAAGAATGTTGAGTTGGGTTTTTTGTTCAACAAGCGGTTATGATTAGGGAAAAGGATAGATTAAAGGGTTAAAGAACAATACTATGGCACATTTTCCAAGTTCATCAACCACAAGGCTAGTATAATTTATTTTGAGCTATAATCGGAGGACTTAATCAAAAAAGTTCAGCCGCCTACCATACATATCTTTAAAGAAAATATACTCTAAAATTGGCTAGTATTTAATTGGGTCTAGGGTTCAGAAATATACTCCCAAATGCACACCCAAGTATACGTGATCGCACAAGTAATATAGTGGTTCTAAAAGATAGTTGAATTATCGAACCCAAAGAGCTTGTCGATTGACTATTTACCTAATTATACTAATTCTAATTATTTATGCAAGTGTGCCACAAGATTTGATTAATATTTGAATACTAAGAATGCAAGTGTCACAATCCAAAAATGGCTGTGATGACACTTGTCTATTCCCAATAACACAAGTCAGCCTCAACCCAACGAAACGAAAGAAAAGCGGAAAGATAAAAGCAGAAAACTTATTCATTCTATTAACACTCCAAAACCTGGTTGTCACGTGTACAAACCACTAATATATAAAATGCGGAATTAAGAAATAAGTACAAGTCTCAATTTTTTGTTTTTCAAATAGAACAAAGCACAAAAAAAAGAACTAGAGGGCCCATCGGGATGATAGGTAGATACCTCTCAACAGTTCTTTGACAAACCTCGAAGATGGGAGAGGAAGTGCAATCACACAATACCGAGATTGAAACCTACACAAGTGTAGAAGCAAAGAGTGAGTACCAACAACACGATACCAAGAAAGCAACATAATAAACAAGGCAACTAGCTAGAAA